CTCATTCGATTTCATGCTAAAACCGGCCCCTGGAAACAGTATCAGATAGGGGTCTAAAGCTTTCTCGGATGATGGCTTCGAGTATGAATCCGAAATGTCAGACAAATAAAGTCCTGTTACAGCGATCGCATCTTTTTCTGCTTTTTAGCGGAGGGCCATGCCACAATGATCCTTCTTCAATTTGGGCTCTATGACTCGCTATCTCATGTTAAACCCAAGACATCCTTATAGTAGTCTGACACATGTATGTTTAGAGGACCGGGTCATGTGTGTGGCACGCGTAGACGGGCGGTTCAGCCACTGCTCCTAAGCTCACCGCCCCCCCTCCCCATCGTCTCAACTTTGTCTGGCCATCAAAAAAGGTGGATTAGAGAAAAGAAAGAGTGCGGTGGACGTGGTACCATTACTTATGATTTAGGATTCCCGACGGAATCCGAAACGTCAGGACAACAAAACTCTTGCTCCAGTGGTCGAATCTCCTTCTGAACTGCTTCCTGGAATTCGCATATTCCCCTCTATTGATAAATAGTAGTGGCAATATCAGACTCGTTTTCATTGAGTCTTCCTGGACAACCACTGAAGGTGAGTAAGGGTAATTAGTGCAGTAGTACCAGCGCATAAAGCTGTTGTCACTTAATTTATACGGTGTTTCTGGCCTGCATTGGAAAGCGGCTTACGCCTGATTCCCGCTCGGTCATCTTGACTGTCTTGTCACCGGTTCAAGCGGTAGAAGGCTTAGAGTGTGGTAGATGGCCGCGCGTCTACTTTCATTATATCTGACTACAGTCACCATCCCTGATCTTTAAGCATATGGTGGACCTCATTGAAATCAAATCACGCAGCTACTGTATTACTCTGCGGCATTATTATTTATCTGCTATTTGAGGATGACTAGTTCGAGGGGGAAATAGAAATAGCATAATTAATCAATTGGTTCAGCAATGAAAATTATCCAGCAGGGCCACAATAAACCAGAAAGTCGCCATAGAACAAACACAGTAAACAGCAAACGGAAATATGACATGGTGTTAATAGTTATTTAAATAATATAAAACATGCCAGTACTGCAGGTGTGATAAAACGAGGCAGAGTCAAAACACTTTTCAGGAAATTGTCCTTCTCCTTGTCGTGAAAGCCCATTGTGTCTAGTAAGAACAACTATAGAAACGCGTGTCATAATTCCACACACCGTCAACGCTACATCCTATTCATATTTACAAGTTAGGACCTGCTAATAAAAAACATATTGCAACAAGATCTACTGATAAACATGAAGACGAAATTTGCAAGAAATTAAACCGGCAAGTTTTAATGTGCTCACTTGCTTTTAATTCACATGTTACGCGAAGGACGATTTCCCGAATTCCTTCATGTTGTTTTCCCTCTAAGCCACGCAACAAGGCCTGGCTCAGTTCACGGAGAAAATCAGACACATCTGCCTCCTGGAAGTTGTCTGGTGCACGTTTATATGTGCGCGCATAAATCCGTGTACATGGGCAACCACGCTATTGCCAGTGTCAGTGACACCACCGGCCGAGCTATGGTTAAAATCTGGCATTTTCTCGACTTTAGTACCTTACAAGAGCAAGGAATTGCCAATTAAAGAGTCATCCATGCGAAATATCATAAGGGAAAAAGCACACCGAGTGCAGTACCTCATAGAAGTCCACATCGATCTGCTGAAACACTATTTTATCATTGACTGCTGGTATCTTTTGAACTGGCGGCCTGGCCCAGCTACGAGGTTTGACCAGTTTATTTTCGATTGCCAAAGTATCATGTCCATCGACCAGAGCGGTGCCGACCTCGTCCTCTTCATCTACTTCCATTAACTTCTGTCCGAAATTTGATGGGCTTTTATCTATGTTGCCCTCGTAAGGCCTTATAAAAATGGTGTAAATTTATATAGTGAAGTAGTTTCCGAAAATATTGTAATCATAAAGCAAAAATTAGCAATGAGGGTAGGTGTCTCATTTTGTACGTTCCAGGTTTGACTAAGGACTGAACGCGGGCTCTTGACATCCTGACGGTTTACCATCCACCGTCGAGCAACCCACAGTCAGACACTAGTCTGAAAGAGGAATTCGAAACATTTGCTAGGAGATGATTGTGGGAGACTTTAACGCTCCACATACCGACTGGAATCTGAGTTCTGCACCCGGCTCAGAAGTAACTTTTGATCGGCGACTCCTACGCACGTACAGGAATCCTTCCTAACACAGCACGTCCTATATCTTATCAGACTACGCTAAAGGCAAAAAGCCTCATAGTGTGAACGTCGTAAATTGTTTACCTCCTCTCGGCAAAAGTGACCACGTAGTACTACAGTGGGTGTATTCCCTCTTCTCTGCGCCTGATCGTAGTGCGATAACCAGACGCAACATCTGGCGCGGAGACTTCACACAAATGAACACCACAGTCAGCAGGATAGACCAGAATGAAACGTTCACCAGGTGCGTTCTCG